GAAAGCTTTCGAGATGTCGAGGATAGCTAACGCGCAACTTGTGTAGTTGGAGTGCGCTTCTCTCAAGATGGCGTGAAGTAGATTGGTTGCTTCGAAGCAGCCATCACGTTGCAGGAAGGCAAACTGTAGTTTTTCCATTGGGAATGATCTGGACCATCACCTGGCGATAATCTTGTGCAAACAGCGCGTAACAACAGAAGTGATGGAAATAGGCCGGAAGTCGGTAGGGTTATCGGGATGTGATGTCTTCGGAATGAAGGTGACCCTGGAAGCTGAAAAGGTGAAGGTAAAAAAGACGTCAGCAAAAGAGTGTTAAAATACCCAGCCAGGCTAGAGGGGTTGATTTTCTGGAGGTCCCTGGCGGATATGCGGTGGACACCTGCGGCGGATTTGACCATTTCTTTTAGTGCCCATTTCATCTCTTCAGTTGAAACTAGGGCGACCAAGTCGTTGTTAGTTGGAAGGTATTCCTGGACCGGTCTAGTGTCTGGTAGGGCTGGGCGTGTGAAGTTGTCTATCCAAAATTCATTGAAGCCTCCTATACTGGAAGGCTGACATGTAAACGGGTCTCTCCATCTGCCATCAAGTACCGTGTTTGCAGCGTCTTTTGGAGAACGGTGGAAGAGTGTTTGCATGTGGGCATATAGAATGCGTCGCCTCTTCTTGTTGTTTAAGTTCGGTGGGAGACCGGAGACGTATCGCTGCTTGCATGGTTTCCATTTTGTAGGGAACAGTTGGTGGGCCTGCTTATCCAAAAGTTGACGTGTCTCCTCAAGAGTAATATCATTCGCATATAGTTGCAGAATAATTTGTCGAGTGGATTCAGTGTCCAGCCGCTGAGATGAATTTGCCAGTTGTGTGCTGATGGCAGCCAGGAGGTTAGCGTGTATATTGTCCATGTTGAGGCTTCTATGAAGTGTCAGATTCACCAGGGGAGTTGAACCATCTTGAGTGAGTCGAGTAGTTGGCATAATTTGTCTTCGAGCTTTATGTTCAGAGGTTGCAGTGGGTGATGAGGTTCGGTTGAGCGAGAAAGCGTTGACAGTATAAGTTGGGACTGATTCGTCAATATCAATAGTATGCAGAAGTGGACGGATCATTGTCACAGCAGTGGGAGAATATAAAATTGTTCTATCGACAGTACTTATTGCATAGTGGTACTGCGGTATTCGCATTGGTTGGGTGGATTCCTCGATTACAGTGCAATCATTATTAATGACAGCCAATTGGAGGGATCGCTGTTCTTCTAGCTGAGTTGGCGTACAGGAATTCGATGAGATTGTGATAGCTGGATCTGAAGTTGCTCTGCATGGACTTATAGGAGCAGAGATTGATCTGTTGACGGTGAACGTATCAGTGAGCGAGGTAACTGGCTGAATTTGGAGATAAGACGTATTTGGAGTTAGGACTATTGTTGGCAGAGATGGGCTGAGTGTACGTCTCCATTTTAGCCTGGCTAGACGTAGTCTAACTGCATCAGCGGTGCGGTTGCCAACGGCTTCGGCGACAAGAGCGAAGAACTGCATAGGCGCAAGTAAAGGTGAATCGAGACATTTGGCCGTTGAGATCAATCGAGCATCTTCTTGAGTGGACCAGGTTTGAGTTCTTGGACGTACATACACTGCTGATCTAATAGCATAGTTTTCATGTGATGATGCAGGTGAGGATGGCATCGAGTAGAAGTCAATGGTTGATGCGGAGCGCGACGATGATGGGACAAATGTTAAACATTTGAGTGTTTGTAGACGGCGTCTGATGGCTTCAACTGAGCAATGTGGCAGATGGTCGTGTAGGTGTTGATACAGTTCAGCTTTGCTGTTGAATCGGTCGACTGCTGCATCTGCTAACATCAGTAAAGTGAGTTCTTCATTTTGGGACCAATTTCGTCGTGTTCAACAGTCATTGAGGAGGCGACCGAGAAGGACCTCATTGTATTCGGCGGGGTGGATTTGACGCAGATGTTGAGTCAAACCTCTCGGAGAAGCGAAGTCTGAAGGACAGTATATACACAGGAATCTTGGAGATACGATTGAGGATAGGGATTGATTGGACCGCATGGAGTGAGGTGATGACGGATTGGATGTGAGGGGTGAAGGATGAGCTGCTGGCAATTGGGAGATGAAGGAAGGAGAACCGGAGGCTGTTGTTTGAGGGTCAGCTTGAATCATGGCAGAGGCCATGGATTGTGATGAGGGTTGGCTTGACATAGCTGACATGACTGGAGATTGCGGTATCGCAGGCTCGAGTTTGGAGGACAACCAACGATGGACTGTTAGTTGTGCCACGGACCGTTCATAGGCCCTCACCCGTGGCTTGACAAATGGTTAAACCAAAATCAAACAAAGCAAACAAAAACGAAATAAAACAGAAATAGAAACAAACGAAAAGAAAGGTACTGTTATACGATATTCCACGTAATCACTTTGGGATTGAAGCAAAAAGAACGGAAGCCGAAAATGAATGGGGAGGAGGTGATATGAAAGAGTCCTCTTTCGAAAACAATAAGGAGATGCCGCGTGAGAATGACTGTCGAACAAAGGAGCACGGAGAGAAGGGTCGAGAAATACCAAATTGAACCAGATATATCCCATAAAATATACATCCAAAACCTGCAGATGGCAGGGTCAGTGATAACAGAGTTTATATAATACTTCCAAGGAAAAATAGTATCTCACAAGTATTCTTATGTGTAGAATGTGAAAATTTAACAGTTTCCGGTAAAAATTGTGTGTAAATAGTTTGTGTACGGTTCTAAAGAATCCGAACGAAAATGTAGCGTCTCAATTCCAACTGCGTGATAGCGTCACTACACCAGCTACCAGTGTGACTTGGCACAGTATGCGAGTAGGTTGTGTCGTTGTTGTCCTTGGACTCTATGTCCTTATTTTTGTTTTTAGTTCGGTTGCTAGCATGGTTTTGAATATTATTTACCTTAAAGCCTGAGTTATTCTTGGGAGTCTGAATATGTTGGGGATTCTTCGCAACAAGTGGCGTGTTTCGGCATGTTTTGTTACCGAGTTCCATTTGCGTTGTCACGTCTTGGTTACGAGAGGATGTTGTCAACTTACAAGAGGTTAACCATCTTATGATAACCATCTTATGGCTGTCCATAGACGTATCTAGATCCACCGTAGAGGGAGGAGAGGTTACTTTAGGAGTAAGACCATAGCTCAAAATTCTTTCTGTCGGTTTCTTTTTCTGTGGGGCTATTTT